ACACCAACCTCTAGGATTAATAATCTCCCATATATAGGTAAAACTCTTCTTATGAGATGTCACATCCCAAGACTTAACCCGTTGTCTAAATAGCATACCCCAATTATCTGGTGCATAGGTTGGTACAATAGCCTGAGCTGATGATATAATCTTAGAGTCATCTCTCTTCCTCAATAATGATAGACCCATATACATATCCTCACCATTAAATACAGTATCATGCTCATAGAATATCTCATCAAGTGTTTCCCTATCCCATAAGGCTACTGCACCATGACAACTTAATGAACGAGCAAGAGTAGCCTGGAATAGTTTATGGAGACCAGCAATCTTATACTCAATATCCTGGCATTGTACCAATAGATTAGGTTTACCATCAGGTGTAGTAGCAGTAATAGGGAAATGTACAGCCTTAATATTGGGGTTCTGATCCAATAACTGATGTGGTATATGTAGATCTGGTGGTAGAGGTACATCATCATCAATAATAACAGCATATTTGAAGTCGGTTACTCTACCATTTTGGACAAGATAAGGTATCCAATATTTATTACACCAATAAAAGGCAAATGTCTTATTACCCTCAGGTACATATAAATAGTTAATATCAGGATGTACCTGTTGAGTAGCCCATTGATTATCATCTACAGGTATTGGTGATACACCATTATCACATACAAATATATGACTAGGTGGGAATACCATTAATGCTGCCCTTAATGTAGCAGTAAAGGTCTCATATCTTTCCTCAGTCATAGTAGATTGATGACATGCTATCATTAGGCATACTTCCCTTGTCATACCTTGACTTAATACAAAGTCAACAGTCTCAGATTCATCACTAGGGGCAGTTAACATCGACCTTGGTGTCATATCATCATCATCGTCCTCCTCCTCATCATCATCCAACTGTAAATGAACCTTCTCTTCTTCTTCTTCTTCTTGTATTGCCTTAGGTATACTAGCCTTAAGCTCCTCTTGCATATGCTCAGCAAATACTGGTTTCTTAGGCCATTTAACCACAAACATAGCACAACCGAATAATATAATATCCAATAGAACATCAAGGAATATAATCCAATCCAATACTGATGTTGCATCCCATATAGATACTACACCAACAAAGGCATCATATAGACTATCATCAGGGTTCATATGTTGAGGTGAGAATCTTAATATAAACCATTCAGTAAATATAACAAGAATAATGAAGAATATATTCAATAAGCCAGTCCTTAGCTTTTGTTGATTAACAAATG